TTCTGTACGGGTGTAAAACCTGGTTTCCCACCCATAGGGAAGAACATAGATAAGCACTTTAATGGGGATACCCTAAATATTTTGAGCTAGAAAGCTCTTTGCTTCTCTTGGTATGTCCTGATTTTATTTGGTTTGTGTTAATTTCTCTGGTGAAATGTAAGTGGTCAGTAACAAATCATACAAAATCTGCTGTCTTTTGACAAAAAACTTGTGTGTTCATTCCACTATACATTAGTCGGTGAGGTAAGAAATATCGAGCACTCACAGGTTTAAGGGTTAGGCTTTAGGTTTCCATGACATTGAAAATTTATGTTGCAATTTTCTTGATGTCACATCCCAGACTATCAAAATCTGTAGATTAACCAATCAAAATGCAAGCTGTTGCCTATTATGAAGGAGACTTGAACATTACATTGCTCAAAATTCATTTGACTCTATGACTCTAAACATTTGAATCTACTGGATGGATTTGTTCAATCTTTCTGGATGAGACAATAGTAAATGTCGTGAGTAGCTTTAGATATGGATGGATTTACTGTCAGTATTATTGAAATGTTGACATTTTAGAGCAAGTTCAAATATCTGTCTGGTAGTAATGTCACTGAAACATGTTGTCTGCAGGATCATTTTATTTCAAGTATACAATCTTCATCTATTGGATATTGGTTGGATCTAGTTAGCATGAACAGATAATGTCATTATCAGCTATTTGATACTACTAAGACTTTAGAACTGATCAAAAAGAAAAAGACTGCTTGCTATTTTTCGTCATTTCTTTCCTAAAATATATTTGAAATCCCTCCATAATATTTCTGACTTCCATTGCGTTATTTTTGCATTTGTAAACATTACAAAAAGCTCCTCTCCTGACATCGTAGTTGTCCGTACTCCATCACACAAACTCATCACTTGAAAATTCTAGAATTGCCATCAGCAATATATCACTAGATACGTAGATGATATTATAATTATTTTTGACGAATCCTTCTCCACAGCCGAACATCCTAGATGATCATAACAACATGCACCAAAAGTTAAAATATAACCTAGAAACAGAAAATAATAATAAAATTAACTTTTCAGACCTCACCATTCACAGACACCTAAAAGAATTCCAATTGGGCATCTACAGGAAACCCACATTCTCAGACATGGTAATCCACAAAACATCTAACCATCCCAACTCTCAGAAACAAGCTGCATTCAAATTCCTTGTGAACAGATTGCACTAAATACCATTCTCTAAAGAAGAATTTGATAAAGAAACCAAACTCATCCAAGAGATAGGATACAATAATGGTTACAAATTTAATATCACAAGATCCTGTAACCTAATAAAAGCACCTAAACCCAACGTCAATGTACCCCACCTCACTAATAAAGTATGGTCCAGCTTTACATTTTTAATAGCATTAGAACACTCAATAAAATATTGAAAAACATAAACGTGGAAGTAGCATACACAGTTAACAATACCATAAAATTCAAATGCAGTTCAAGAAAACAAGTTAACAAATACAATAATAGTGGTGTATACCAGTAAAAATGCGGAAGCTGCGAGCTGGTCTATATATTGGCCAAACCGGTACGGATTTTAAAACCTTATTTAAAGAACACGTCCACGACATCAGTTTTAACAAAATCTAAATATGCCGAACACGGACAAGAATACGGCCCCATAGATCATATCATGGACATATTAAGAGTAGCTCAAATGGGTAAAATGCTGGGTATTCTAGAAAAATTACATATATACAAAAGTAGTAAACACAAAGCCATCATTAACGAACAAAACGCCCAAAATTCTAATGTATTATTTGACCTGGCATTAAACAGGAGAAAGTAAATTTTACAATAGTTGGCCACATTGCTTTCGAGCTAATATATACCCCACGCATTCCAACTTCCAGTAGGAACCCTGTTAGCTTTATCAAAATTCCCGTTTTTAGTGTAAGACCGTGTACCATTTCCAGCAATGCGTTTCTTGCGCAGGAATGGTGTCACCTAGCAAGGGAAGATGTCCTCCGCTTGCGCAGAACTCCGGCCTTAGTTAGCTTTTTTTAAAAAAAAAAAAACTTCCAATCTCCAACCACGACTCTGCACTTCACAGGTAAGGACGATGCAACCATAGCTACGGCCACCGGATCAATAGGTAAGTGTATAGTTCAACTTTGAATAACAACATGTAGTGCAGTATCGCTTGAAATGCTAATGTATATTTCATATATCCAGTTTAAACCATTAGATTAAATGAATTAATTTCCTTGATGCCACTGATGATGACCTCTTGAGGTTGAAACGCGTATGGCAATACTGTCTTTTTTATAGTGTTTATAGTTTCTTTACTTATTTTATATTCTAATACACGGTATGCAAAGTTTTAAGATTTTTAAAAACAGTTTAATATTTGAGCCAACGGTTTTGTACAGATAGTGTGTTATTAAATGTTGGTTTGCAAAGCATGTGAGGTCAACATAACGTCGCTTATGAAAATTTGCCAGTAGGTTAAAAAAACAGTTAACTTCTTCGAGAGGTGTCTATGATAGCGACCTACTGCTTTTTAAAGAGTGTGACAAAATTCCTAACATGTGGAAGGGTATGTTGTATATAATTTAATGTATGTTAGTTTTCCTTGTTCGTCACTTTTCACACATTCAGTTCACCGAGCAATCACTGGAACTATACATTTCTGGCCATTGTGACCATCATATTCGATTCCCCGTTTTTGGTGTAATTTCACTGGGTATCGTAATTTCTACTCTCAATGTATAAAAATTATTTAATGTGTTTTGTACTTACGAAATTGAATTCGTTCACTTTCTCGTGTAAGCAGATCATACTCTAGACACATCTCTGTAATCTAAATTATTATCTTTTTCAAATATAATTTTAGTTATGTTTCAAGTAATGCAGTAGCATTCTTTCGTTGCGTTTGGGACCAGTGAAATACTTTTCTTTCGTTTTCTTGAATTATTTATATTTGTTTTCCTTCTAATTCTGCGGGCATTCATGCATTTGCATTTGTAGGCTTATTGAATGGTACAGGAAACATCTGTAGTTGTCTCATGTTAACGTGTAATGAGTTGATTTTTTCATGTAGGCCACACTGGTTCACAACCTCATAAGAGCATATGACTTGTTCTGACACATGCATGTCATCCCTTCTGAGGCCATTTTGCTGTCTTTCCATTCCAGGAACTACATTGAATTTCTTCAGAAAGTAGAGGAAAGTTGTGCCTTGGAAAACCATGAAGAAGATTTACTTGAATTTGGGTTAGGTATGTATTTGTTTAATTAGTAACTGATTGATTCTTAATGTAATATTTCAATAACTCATCTCCAGTGAATGTAATATCAGTGTGAGAATGAATTTTTCCTGCCCTTCTGGAATCCTGAAGAAAATTATCAGTGATTCAGATGTGGTGAGTATTTTGGACATGTTTATCCAAGTCATCCAGGATATCTGTCAGAGGTAACCACATATATCATGGTAATGTTTGTTTAATATGTCTGAAATCATATTTGTCATATGTAGTCTTTCCCCATCTTGTTGGGAAAATGTTTCTTGTTCATTCCCATGGCTTAAAAAGTCTGAACAATATAAATAGTCTTGTGAGATCTGCAAGTAGCAAGCAACATTACATATGTCATACAGGAAGATTAGTGTGAAGATTCCGTCTAATGAATTAGTGTTCCACACTGCATGTTTCAGGACGCAGAGCACGGGGATCATCAGTGCTTCAGATATGCATATTGTATTTATTTATATGTCCATTTATAGGATATTGAGTTTCAGAGAATGTGTCGAATAACTGTTTGCTCTTCTTCTAAATATTGATGAAATGAATCACAAAAGATGATTTAGCTATCTTCGTCAACATCCATCACTTGTTGTAGGATCTAAATTTTATAAGCAAATATTTTTAGGTCTTTTCCGATTGTTTTAAACATTTAAACCAACCTCTTGTGACAGCCATTTTACAGACTTTCCTTGGCTGCGCACAAGTGCGGCGTACATGCTGTTTCTTTTCATGTACCTGAAAGATGCAGAATGTCTGATCAATGCTGCCTGATTACATAAAAATGTTCGGTGGTAATCGAATATAATTCCATGCATGTATTCAATTAACCTTGATGGAGAATGTTGTATTTAGAATGAAATAGTTACCCCCACTTTATGAGGTCTTCTCTTTAATCCACAGAGAGAAAACCTCCTGTTATGTAGTGACATGGGACCCACATAATATGGCCTTTTCACTGATTTATTTTTAAGCACATTTGAAACTAAAGGCTATTCAAATATACCTATTGGCTTCGCTATGACTATTAATCTGTCCATATGTAAGAACTTGGGAAGAAACAGATAATTTGAATTTCAAGATGTTTTATGTTAGGGAATTTTTCTATTTGAAGAGACATTTCAGTTTTGTTCAGTGTCATGATTGCAACATTTGGTATTTTACATTAAAGCCTAATGTGCTTTTGCTTGTGAAAGTGAGTTTGTGGTAGTAGTAAAGAATCGCCAACTAGCTACGCAACCACACTGAGAAAATCTAAGCTGTCATTCTTCATATTGATATCATCTGCCATCCAAACAGAGGCCAGGCACCCTACTCAAGCTAAGGTCACTGGCAACATTCACAAAGGCCGAATTGCTGTGAATATGTCAGGATGGTTGCACTTGACACACTTGTCCTCTTTTTTTGCCAATCCTACTTGTTCAGTGTTTATGATATTCTGTTCTTGGGCTAAAGAGATTCATGGGTTACAAGAAGTTATTAAGCATTTGATGCAAGTTCATTTATATCCAACTAAAATGATAATTAATTTAGTTGGATGTGAGTGAACTTGAGGTTAAATTATTTTAGATTCTCCTTTCACTCTTATCTGTACTGTAGATTGAACCCCAGTATGTGGTTAACTAAATTGCTCGAAAGATTTTTATCAGAAGGTTCACTATATTGCATATAATTATATGTCACCATTATAGCGACATCTGTGTATCCTTCCTTTACGATGCTTTAGATATCAATAAATGGATTGGTTAACCTCTCTTTTTTCTCTCCCCATCAGACTAAGCAATGTGAGTAGGGTTTTCTAACAACAAATCTGGTTGGATGAAGCAAACTTGAACTTTGACATCATGTTATGGAATGTGAATATGTGGTTTGAATATGTAACTCTTATGCATTTCTGCATGTTGTCAGTCAAGAGTTTGTTTACTATGTATAAATTACAATCCTGGCAAGTGTGTAACCTATTTGTCTCTAATGTATGTAAGAAATCATTTAATCTAAAAAGTGCTCTGAAGACACATCAGCTTACGCACAGTGGAGAAAGGCCGTTTTCCTGTGATTACTCTGTCGATGAATTTCAAATGTTTACAAGTAAGTCGTAATTTACCTATTGTATCCTTTGTTTATATTTTTGTGACATTTATATGACTTGTATTTGTATAACATGTATTGTATTATTATGACTTATTCTACATCCTATTGTCATCTGACTAACTTATGGATCCATGGAATGTAATAAAGATGTATGTATGTATGTATAACGTCACAGAGTTATCAGTAATCTGAAGGAACATCTGCGTACATACAGTGGAGAAAGGCCATTTTCCTGAGATTTGTGTAACAGGTCATTTAGATATAAGTCACATCACAGGAAAATGGCCTTTCTCCACTGTGCGTAATAGATCAAACAACAACAGAAGTGTTTTGAAGATACATCGGCACATCCACAGTGGGGAAGCGGGCATATTATATGTGAATTGTGTAAGAAGTCTCGTTCGGATGGATTCTTTGAAGAAACATCTGCTTGTACATGGAAGACAACAGCCACATTTATGTGATGTATATTGTAAATGATTCCTTTGCCAGCGTAATGTCATTAATGATTAATCTTTATTTCAGTCACATTAAATCTATTCATTAATAGAATAATCTGATTTGTCAATACTTGCTTGAATTGTGCATATTCTTGTGATATATGTAGGTCTTCCTATTATCAGAAGAGTCAGATTAATGTAACTAAATGCAATAAAATCTTCTCGCATCTCCTGTTTTGGTATCAGTATAAAAGTCAAGCAAAATATTGCAATGACGTCTTTTAGGTTTAACAATATCATCCTGTTTATTACTCCCAAAACTTTTTGTAACTGTTCATTAGTATGGGGAATATTGCATAATTTTAAGTTGCTATGCATTTGTCCTTTTTGTTATTTTCAGTTGCATTTATTACTGATAGTTCAAAATAATCATTGTAACCTTCAGGTTACTTGCAGGTCAAACAAAAGTGTAGGTTGCAATGGCTTTGTTTTCAATAGCCGACCTTCTGAATGCTGTGCTTGGAAATGTCACAATCAGATCTAAGTGACTGGCATATGTGAATTTAGATGTAGATAACTTTTTTACGTTTTGTCAAAGATATTCCTACATAGTGGCAGAAATATTTATTGTAATATCCATGTATATTACATTTGATGCTGATCTAATCATTATTTCTTATCAGAGGATAATATATTGAGTTTGTTCAGGGAGCTTCAGATGATACATGATAGGAATATGTGAAATACATGAGTGTGTTTTGTTTCTAACAAGTGCCATATTTGGGTTTGAGGGCTTGAAGCTTATCACTCACCCCCATGTATTGCCAATAGAAAGATTGTATGGAACTATAGTTTCATTCTGTCATACCTCATCATATGGTGATTAGTTAAAGCACTGGATACGTCCTTATGCCATAGTCACCAATAAAGTACACGGATAACTTTTCTTTACCTTTTTCATAAATTGAGCCATGGGTGGGACTTTAAAGATACAGGTAGACTCCCAATTAGTAGGAAAACTCGGGGAAATGACCAGCAGACAAAGCAAGAAGTAATTTTAGTTTGTGAATATATTACCCTTACAGGAACAAAAATCAAATTTTTATAATGCTTTTTCTCCTGTGGGGTGGTTAGCAGTGACTTTTAAGTAGGCATGTTCCTTCCCAGTCTTACGTTCAGAATTACAAAGCAGTTCAGCAGAATGTGTTCAGAATCCCTGTAAAAATTTCATGTAATTCTTAAAAATGTCTCTTTCCACAACACTTAAACATAATTGTTCAGGTGGCAACATGTTTACTATTTGTAGAATTAATGATGTATTTGCATGGCAGCCTGCCAGAGGGAACCCAGCTGTCATAAAAACCTGAACATGGAACTACAATTAAAGATCAGACTCATTTAAAAAAGTTGTGCTTCCTGAAAGGGATCTGTGCTCTGGCAATGCAGATCATTTATGCAAGAAGCAGTAACTACTGTATTGAATGGTAAGTGAAGTACACACTATGTAGGTGGTTGGGGAAGGGCAATTATAGATCCAACTAATTCTTAATCTTCCGGGCTATGAAGCTCTTCAATGTGCAATTTTCTCTGTTATACATTCCCTCCCATTATCCTCAAATATTTAACCCAAAAGACTGTTGAAAGAAACTATCAATGTTCCCTCAAGGTCAGAGACCAAGTTTCACATCCTTACAGCACAACTGACAAAGTTACAAGTCAATATTGAAGGGTCCAGTGACCGAGGAACACTTTGACTAACTAAACTGAGTAGGTTTCCAAAACTGCTTTATAAACTGAGAAAGGAAATAGCTCCAGCATCTGACACTCGGGGTTCTTTTTTTTTTTAAAAAAAAGACGATAGACATAGTCCTGGAATGTAGTGTTTCTATGCCTAAATTACACTTTTGTGTACCTTCATCTTTGTTTTTTATATCGGGCGTTAGGACATAGATTTTCGGCTTAATAATAACAAGCATTCCCTGAATTGAATCTGCTCTTGATTTCGTCATGAATTTTCATTCAGAATTGTTAGTGTAATATATATTATTAGTCGTGTTCATAATTTGCGAATTATTAAGCAGTTATTCGATTTGTACTAATTAATGCCGGGCACATTCGTCCCTACTACGAAGTTGTTACTGTAACGATTACGAAAATACCACAGCAACAAACAAATGTGAAAGCATGTAGTGGAAAATATTATATACTATTCGGATGTATTTTGCGTTTAGATAGTTTGCCGATAGACATTGCATGGAAATAATGTTGAGAAATATGTTTTTAAAAAAAGTTTAATATTTCGCCCAAAGCATTTTGTATAGATAGTGTGTTGATAAATATCGTTTTGTAAGGCGCGTTATTTTGACTGCACGAAGTCTTAAAGTGAGGTTATACTCATTAATTAAGTGAGTTTAACATAACGTTGCCTATGAAGATGAGCTAGGAGGCTAAGAAAACGAAGTCATATTCTTCGAGAGTTGTGTATGTTTGCGAATACAGCTTTTTAAAGAGTGTCACAAAATTCCTAGCATCTGTGGAAGGTTACGTTGTACATAATATAATATATGTGTAGTTAATTCTGTTCGTCACTTTTCATACATTCAGTTCACCGACCATTCTGACATAACAATATATTTCTGTCCAGTGTAATCATCATTATGATCGAATCACCAATTTTGTGTAATTTTACTGGGATACATAATTTCTCTTCTCAATGTGAAAAAATAATCTAATGAATTTTGTACGGATGATATTGAATTAGTTGATTTTCTCCTGTAAGCAAATCATAATATAGAGACATTTCTGTATTGTAATATTATTTTTATAATTTTCAAATATAAATTTTGTTATGTTTCAAGTAATGCAGTAGCATTTTTTCATTGCTTTTGGGACTATTGAAATACTTTTCTTTCCTTTTCTTCAATTTTGTTATACATATTTTCCTCCTAATTTTACAGCATTCATTCACTTACGTATGTAAGTCTTATTGCTTGATACAAGAACCATCTATAGTCGTCACATGTTAGCACGTGTAATGAATTGTTTTTGTCATGTAGGCCATCCTGGTTCACAACCTCATAAGAGTATACGAATTGTGTTTACACATGCATTTTTACCCTTCCGTGCCTGCTTCTGTAGACATTTTGAAGTACTTCCAATCCAGGAACTACACTGAATTTCTTCGGAAAGTAGAGGAAAATAGTGCCTTGGAAAACCACGAAGAAGATGTACTTGAATTTAGGTTATGTATTTTGTGCATTATTAACTGGTTTAATTTTAATGTACAGGGACTTCAATTTATGACGCTGTGGTCGTGCTTGAAGTGCGAGGTCGGCCGGCTCTCTTGGTGTGGGCGGTATATTTTCACGTTCATTCCTTGAGTCGCTGGTGAATCAATTTAATTGCGTCTATCGTAGCGGATTGACGTTGATAATATGGTGTATAGTATTAAGCAACGTGTGTTCTTAGTCGAAACATATACAAAATATTCATCCTACGGAAGATGCCGCCGTAAATTTTTCCGACATTTTCCTGGAGTATGTGTTCCTAGCAGGTCCATGATAGAGAGATTAGTAAAAAAATTTCGTAGCACGGGATCAGTTTTGGATAAAAAGAAGAACAGGAAACGGAGTGTATTGACGGAAGAGAAATTGGATGAAATTGGGGCTCTATTAGAAAAAAGTCCAAGGCAATCTTTGGCAAGCTTAGCTGCACAATCCGGCGTGTCATTGGGATCTGCTCAAACAGCAACAAGACTTCTGAAACTTAAGGTAAGAACAATTAATGTAATAACATGTTTTAGTGACGAGAAATATTCGTACTTCGCTGTTGGTAGAGGCACTGTATCCTAAAGAAAATAATCAGAGATTCAGATGAAGTGGGTATTTTGACAGGTTTATCCAAATCCAAATCATGCAGGATATCTGGTCGGAGGTGACCTTTTCATGGGAATTTTCATTCAATATGTCCTGAATCACATTTCACATATGTAGTCATGCCCAATCTTGTTGGGAACATTTTAATTCCATGTTCTATCCCATGGCTTGGAGAGTGTGAACAAAATAGCCTTGTAAGATCTGCAAGTAGCGTGCGGCATTACTTATGTCATCCAGGAAGATCAGTATGAAAAATCCATCTGATGAAATAGCGTCCCACCCTGTGCATTTTTCAGGATGCAGAGCATGGGGATCATCAGTGCCTCAGATATGCATATTCTGTTTATTGACATGTCCATTTATGTAGATATGTAGATCATGAGGGTACCTGGGTGAAATTAATTTTGAGTGCCCTTCAATTCAAATATATTCTTCAACATATACGACTATGATTGTAATCTGTACTGAATTCTGTACATAACACACACTGTGTGAATGTAAATTACTTATATTTTTTATGTTTAGCTGTTATGACAGGCATGCATGAATATCGTCATATTCCTACAATATTGCTCATATTCATTATTCAGAGTACAACCATTTTCCTCGATTTTTGAGAGTTTCTAACACAATTTTATAATTCGTTTTTAATTTTTCAGCAGAACACTGGTATAATCAAAATGGAAAATGATGTTGATGTTCTAAATGAAAATGATTCCGTTTGCAAGATATCTGATGAGGTTCATGTACAGTCAGCACTTTCAATAGATGACTCTGTATATTTTGTGTGGGTGTAAAACCTGATTTCTCACCCAAAGAGAAGAATATAAGTTATTTTGACTTGTTATTGGGAACACTTATGTGTGGTACATTAAATTTCACTTTCATAAATTTCAATTCTTTTTAAATTATACTTTCTAGTGTTTACATGATAATGTTAGGTTCTTGAGATATGTAGATCATGAGGGTACCTGGGTGAAATTTTGAGTGCCCTTCAATTCAAATATATTTGTCAACATATACTGTGATAGTAATCTGTACTGAATTCTGTACATAG